TATATATGTATATATATATATATTCACTTGTACTCAGAAAGTGTATTTTCATTGCAACAACCTCATTTGCAACATCGAGTTGTCTACCTAAAATTACCCGATGTTGCCAATGAGGTTATTGTGACATGAAGGATTGGTTAATTATTTATCAATCAGAGGAAAACGTTCTGTAAATAAAATGTATCAATTATCTCGATCGAGAATTGTTTTTCTTTTTGTGCCCTCTAAATGCAGCTGACCGACACCGAGGAGTGCGAAATCTTCATTGTCTGTGTTGGCGAGATAAAATGCTGTGAGTGCTTCCCGATAGATCCTGTCTATTTAAAAAGCATTTATACCGAGATAAATAGAGACTGCCAAGTAATAGAGCCGACCAAACCAGAATTTGAACCATGGATATGAAGACCTTGTACACTACAGATTAGCACTGGGTTAGAGTGACTGTAGGAAGAGCGGTACATAACAGCGGGAAAATACTGAACTAGAGAGAGTTCAACTTTGGAAACAACGGTGTTCACGTAAGTTCATCATTGTCCTCATCGTATTAATTCGATCGTTGGCTGTACATTTCAACAGAGCACGCTGGAAGATGGATGGCAAACCTGAAGCAGGGCCGGAACAAGGGCGAATATTGGAAATGGCAAAACCAAAAAGTGATAAGTAAATAGCACTCAAACAGATATGCACCAGTAGGGAAAAATGGATCAGACCAGATCAGAACATACTTGCCGGAATTCAGACCACCGAACACCTATGAACATAAGTACACAACGGAACAGGGGATAAAAGAGAGAAAAAACAAGGAATAAGTGGTGAGAAAGACGGGAAAGAAAATAAGTGAATAAGTGCGCTCGGGAACAAAAAAAGAAGTTTCAATAATAAATTGATAAAACTTATTTTAAACTGTGCAAGCAGTGGAGAACTAAAACGAATGGATATCATAAGAAGCACTTAGATCGATTTCGCTCTAAGTGAGCGTGACATTCCTCGGCCACGTTAAACGTGTAACGCACCTACTCCACGGAAAATCAACCTGTTGCAACATGCTTTATCTGAATCGAACTGATCCCACAGTAGTCCAAGTTATTATGCGAAATACTTATAAGTTGTTACTCTCCTTCTGCATAAATCAATCGAATGTTTTGTTAAAAAGTAATGATAATTACTGCGCATAGTCTTGAACATTTTGACGTCGAAAGAGATACGCGCCAATCTTCGAACAGTCTCAGCTTGTACGACGTGAGTGTTGCATGCGTCAATGGCAAAAGAATGAATCTAACTTAAACATGTATCTTCTGAGTTGGGTATGGAGCGACAAGGTGGGCAGCAAACATCATGGACGGTTGAATTTATGCGGTACGTGATGCATCAAAATCAACTCTCGCATTCGGATATACTGAGGTGACTCCAATCTTTCGATATGGGTAAGGGAATACAGACTATGAAACATTTTGATCGCTAGGCTTTTTGGACTTATGGAAATCCTGCAATCATGGATTCTGGGCTAGAAGGGCGTACTCAAAGAGCGTACGAATTGATGGCGATAACTAACAAATATATTCACACTGTCGATTTAAATGTACAAAATACATACCGGAGTAGATCTATGTGCATGGCACTTACGGACGACGCCTAGGGGCAGCTGACGAAACAGATAAGCTCGTCCTAAACGACAACCCAAGATTGTTCTGGTTAACGACCGAGCATTTCAACGCATTGGATTGTTTCTGTATACCAAATTTTGGCGTCATCGGCAGCTCAAGAATATTCGGTAGATCAATTTTAAAAACGAGAACCATAAGAAAAAAATACTAATTGGACCTACCTACGAAAATCATACTGTAGAGGGATTTCATCCTGCAATCCTTCAGAGTTCATGTCCCTACTCATTGTTTCGAACCACAAAAATACAACAGACCCGACGATAGCTCGCTCGCTCACTGTACTTCTAATCTCACTAGGTGAACTGTGAGATGAAGAATAGTTACGCTTAGTCAATAACTCAGAGGATAAAATCATTTAGAGTTGAATAACTTGTGCAAGCTTTTAGATATGCATTGAAGTAGAAAGATACTTCGATCGACCACAGAGTGGTGAAACTGAGGAATATACGAAGAGCTGGAGGTTAACACCAGCACGTGGAACATTGTCAACCGCATCTCTATCTACGAGGCATAGTCCGAATAGGAGAGCTACTGGACAAAACTGACAGAAGGAATCGGAGCTTCGGAGCCTTAGGAACGACGTTGAGAAAGATCAGTATGCAATGGGTCAGGAGAATCCTCAGAGAGCATTCAAGCAAACAAGTTACAGGTAGAAAAGTTTGAGTCACATGAATGTGTTACTTTACTCAAGGGAACGCCAAAAGCGTGATTTATCATCTCCTAAGTGCAGATCAGGGGAAATAACAAGAGAGAAGTGGAAGGTGAATGGAGTGACACAAGTCCGATCTATAGTCCATAAAGGTCTCCAGATTTGCAGCGCGAAGGCATGTTCGGAGCTTAACTGCACAAAGCTGTGCAAATAATCAAGCTAAAGAGTTCAACGGAATCTTGGACGCACAAAACGTAGTACTGATATAGTAAAATTTAAAAGATGGACATACAACAGAAAACCAGTGACTCAATAAGCGTCAAAAAGTCACAGATCACGGTCAATAAAGCTGTGTGGGTTTATTACTGGAAGTTTATGATATTTTATTTGTTCCTTGAACCATCAGTTTATCATTTTTTTATCTCGATATAGCCATAGTGTATTTGTGCGTCAAAGATACCGTTGGTGTGTTCAACTCGGCAACGTATCCGTCCCGTATATATGCACACATGTTGAGGAGGACAGTTATTGAATATAGGATTTAATGAAGATATGCGGGGAGAGAAGTGAAACTCACATCTGGAATGTGTTCTTTGTTAATAACGGCCAAATCCCCTTGTGCAAAATCATCCCATGCCTTCAAAGAGCTTGGATTGAGACCTGATAAGCATGGAAGAACCATATAGGTTGAAGCTAAGTGTTGAATAAACTTGATAAAATCGATGACAGAAAACGTGCGGGCAGGCTGCAGACCGACGGAGTACTAACTGGGAAAACATCACTTCATCAGCAAAATATGCTACGGAACACAATTCCTCATTGGGAATAAGAATGGTACTTAACAGAAACAGTGGCATGAGACATCAATCAACGGTGAAAAGCGCTGGTCATGATATGAAACAATACGGTTATTATTCCAACATCTAAGTAGGATAAATGATGACTACTTCAGTGCTCAACAGCATCATGATGCTGTGACACCCATAGATGTTATTAAAAGATCTTAATTAATACTAAACATATGTACAATTGGTTCATTGAAAACAGCACAGGCTTATATTTAATTTGATTGGAGGTCATATGTTCGAAACCCATCGAATCGTTTCATTCTCTCCATTCTTTATGTTCTCAGAGAGTGTTTAATCGACTACAACCCTCTTCATTAAAACTGGATGAACAGTTTTCATTACAACACTAACCAACGGTAATACGAGAGAACTCTGTTCACTGGCACTTCCCGAAAGTATGGTTGATTGAATGAAGACTGAGGATAATGCGAAGAAATGAAATACAGGATACTGGCAGACTGTGGACAATGGGATTAAATAAACACCAATCGGACTGATCAAAATGTGATCTCTGATGATAACAACAGATATAGGCATGCCAAATGATCTTAGTAACACCCGGTCCTTGTTTGATTGGTACCAGCAAGCAAAATCTCAAAGAGTTTAGGTTAAAATTGCTCACGGGGGTGGGTGGGAATGAAAGGTTGGGTTTTAAGTTAAAAACAAATTACATATGAATGCAACTATACGTTTAAAACCAAAAGCAGTATTTCGTGTGCGCAGGAGCTATCGACGCATCCGACCGGACGTTCGTCCTGTTGTTCAAGCAGAGCCTAGGTTGCAGTAACGTTGTGAGATACTACTCACATTGATGAGTAGAGCACGACATCCGCGATTTATAATATTGCAACTACAGAAGAAACAAACAGATTAGATTGTCAGGCTGGCAATCACCGATGAGGAGACGATCACGAAAATGCTAACCAATTGCTGCAAACTAGATGTTTCGTTCTATGTATTCTGATTTACCTATCCAATGCTGATATCAGAATAGCACACCTTAATCATGAATTGGTCTTTTGGAACTATAACAAAAGTAGTGGCGCTGCGATAACCGAACGTTTAACGATCGTACATATCGACAATTTTAAACGCAAACTTCTAACTGCCTATGTCTGGCCTTCAAAAAGAGAAGATTCGATCGAAAGAGAGGCCAGATAACATACGAAAGTTAGCGAACGCTGCGAAAAGACCAAAAAGATCGAAGTAGCATCACATACCTTGTAGTAGCTCATTGACCCATTCACTTCTCGGTCCGCTTCGAGCATCCTGAATCAGATTGGCCAGTTGCCATAAGTGACCGGAATAGCCCGGTTTCGGGTGTCGCACGGACAGTCGAACTGGAGCAGTTTCAGGATCGGGATCGGATGTCAGTCTGCACAAAGAATTTGAAATAATCCAATGTGATCAGATATTTCATTGTACCAGTTCAACTTTTCATTGTATCAAGCTCATGTCAACCCAGTGGCTCTAAGGTTATTTTTTGAGGATTTCTAAGTCATTCATTTCGAGACCCCGCACTGGTTCAATCAATTTCAAAGTTGAATAGTTGTCTCATGTGAACAAATAAACCTTTCCCCAACACTTTAATGCTGTCTCAGCTGTTGAACGGATTAGGCTTAGGGCTAGATCCAGTTAGACAAAATGAAGAATCGATCTTCCATGCAAGTGGAATTTTACGTACGCGATCCATTACGAATTAGTGAAAAGGGTATCTCGGTACTCTCGTTGTCAGAAAATATTAATGGTTTATAAATGTCCATCCGAATCACGTACTGTTTGCCCAGAGAAAAAAATTTTGAGATCAGATGTTACCAACTTTCTGCATTCAATTATCTATAAACATTTTTGACGAATCCGTAGAATCATTTCAACCGATCTCTAACCTTGACATAATATCCCCCGAAAAACCTAACTCATGTGGCTATTCAAGGAAGAAAACTGTCAGACTGAAAAAGCCAGTCATAAACGGACTGGGAACCAGAAAAACCTGTATGAGAAAAGTGGACGCAGACTGTTCCACATCGTCTCAAACTCCCAGAGTCAGGTGTCTGATATGGAAACGATGCTCGAATTGGATTTTTCAGTGCGAATGGTGTAAGGAACACTTGAAAACGTTCCTTGAATGGAATACAGAAGAATGAAAAGGCGCATAGTTCGAAAAAATTGTGAAACATTGATTGTGAACTGAAACCCAAGTAACTTGGAAAAGCGAATCAAATTCCGTCTAGTTTAGTGACCCAACGCGTGAAACTACTACTGACATGACCTGTAGAAAGAGCGGCGCAAAGCAATTACCGATCGAAACTCGGTGATGATATGGGGTGACTTATCAAGCAACGACCCAACCGAGCTCGTTATACTAAGTGGGACACAAGATTCGTGGAATTCAATCCTACATTGGAGCGGTACCCTATAAAAAAACAATAAATGATCATTTTAAAGTCATTTTGCAGCATGATATTAACCGAAATCATAATGGAAATTATTGGTTCTTATTTCGAGGCATCAAAAAATTTAGGCTATTCTAGTCCACAGAACGTCACGAGCTAACACTACAAAACATGAACTAGAGGCATGGAGGATTCAAGTGGGATCAATGAGTGGAGTTCGTGGTAAGTGAAACATTTTCGACGTGGGGTGTATGCACACAAGGTGACTCACTAAGCCGAGAACACTGCTGAATAGAAACTTCAGCAAGGGTTCTCTGGTAGTTTTACTCGATAAAACCGTATCAATTGGCAAATCGTGAAAACAACTCGTAGATGCGTTCACACATGCCCTTCTGAATCATTTATGTAATGAATGAGGAAACATAAACAGTTTGTTTTGAGCAGTGATAACACTGGCGTTTCAATTTGGGCTTTTTAAGATGCCAATATTTGGGGGACCTGGGGTGACTGCTGCACCGATATACATGGAATGTCGGTTTTTAAATGCTATGTTACTCATGAGTAGTAAGATCGAACATTGGAAAGTTTGACGCCCAAAGGAGAATGCAGATACCAATGTATGCAGTTGTTTTTAGGCTTAGGCACGTCTGAACAACAATTAGCCATCTACTCTTACGCCGTATTGTTCGGTAGACTTGAGGATTCCCAGGCGAGGGATCCAAAGACTGAATTTATTGGAAGTATCAAAGAATCCGCTTCGTACGGATGAACTTGTATCCGCGTATAGAATGAAAACCAGAGTTCCTCAGATCTATTGAGATTGCACAGTAGTGAAAGATAATTACTTCGGTAGCTATCCGTGTGTGGAGCAAGACTGCCTTCAGTATGCTAGGTTGCTTGGTTGTGCTTGGTTGATAAAATACCAGTGTCCATCACGAGAGCAACAATCAGGTTGGCTCTCATCCTATTCCTTCTATCAAAGCAAATAATAATAGTATTCCTGGATAATTTTGCTAACTCGCTTCTTTTTCTATCTGTATGAGCGGTAACAGCCAAAGTTGAATTTTCAAACGGCTGAAAAGGTGATGTCTAGTGCGTTTTAAATAGTGACCTCCGAACGTAGATAAAATTGTCCACACCACTCCGATATCCTTGGCCGACAACTTATGAGCGCAGTGGTCGCGTAAGCTAACCATAAGTTACACAATTCAACCTTGCACTCACTTTACTTTTATGCGACCCACTCCTGCGTGAGGATGGGGCCCATTCAGGTGGCTTTCATTATGGCTGCCCAGATGCGGCATTCAGCGACAATGTCGACTCAAAGTTAAAGCCTGTTTTGATCCAGGCGCTCGATTTCTTCTTGGATCGGTGACCTTGATCTGTAAGTAACAACCGAGACAAAGCATTCGCCTGTTCAAGGTGTTGGGAAGATCTCCTCTCAAGAGCTTCCTGGCAGGACGCCGAACCACAAGCTGATAGTCTTTCAGAACAGTAGAAGGTTTTTCAATGGAACAGTGGTGCTGGCGGGCTTCACCGTCCGATAATGGGACGTCATTCAGGACATAACCCAAACAGCAGTGATCGAAAACCAGTTTTGGAGGTTGAGTTCCTATTGGAAAACCGTCAAAACCATATTTCCAGATAGAAAGGATGGCAGCTTTTTATTACACACCAGTGTGTGATGAACAGCAGAAGGGGCGGATCCCATAGTCACGAAGAACTGCGGCAACCTGAACCCCGGGACTTGGAGTGGCGAACCACATAGGGNTCAGGCGTGAACCAGGGGACAGCAAATCCGGATAGACTAGCAGTTTGATCCGGAGGTTGATTTCGTGGCGCGTCCACAATGGTGTTTCGTGGAGTTGTAACAACCGTCCGAGTAACACCGATGATTAGCTGGATTTCATGTTTAGGTTGACTCTTACACTGGACGTTGGAGTCAAGGAACTTGAGAACCTCGACGAATTCTACTGGTTTGCTTTTGATTACGATCGAGTTTTTTAGTGCTACTGTTGCGTTCGAAATGGTTTTCGTCTCGGACGTATTATTTCTAAACCCATTTCACTGGCAAAACATATGATACAACCAAAAATCGATTAGGTTGTCCGAGGTATCTTTAGGAATGATGGCGTCATCCGCTAACTCGAGGTCCGCGTAATGAGCAAGGACACACTTCATCGTTCAATCAATGGCAAAAGTTAACAGCACCGGAGACAGTGGACAGCCTTGTTGAAATCAGATTGAGCTCCGAGGATTCCGTCGATGTTAACTCGAACTCGGGTGTTCGAGTAGCATGAGGGTTTCTCAAATCAAGCACCTGTTTGCATTATGTTCCACAGTGAATTTCCGTGGACGTAAAAGCGGTGCGAGAGGCGATGGAGTAATTCGGTGTTGGCGGCTATAACTTGAAATAAGATTCTAAGATCCAATGGAGGGTAAAAATCTGATCAACACGGGTCACACCAACATTACACTTGGTTTTATTAAGTAATCCACGACTCCATCTTATTGCCATCAAATTAATATCATGAATGTTCCCCAAATCGTCTAAAACATTCGTAGAAGCATTCTTCAGACTGGGAGATTGTTGTCTAAGATGTCTGCTTGGAATAGTGCAATTTTGCATAAAAGACGAACACCGTTGGTTTGTCGCCCAGGTGATGTAATGAGATCAATTTCTCAGAAACCATAAACCCCACTCTGTCACAGAAAACCCCATTCATCAGAATGAATGTTTTGAGCAAGGTCGTACGTAGTATCAAGCAAATGCGTCTAACATCTCTTCTCACAAACTCCCTTCATCACCAGCTGACGTTGCATAACGAAAAGTTCACGAGTGTATATTGTGTGAGGGATATTTGACAACAGTGGCCATCTAATTTGGTACGCTATCGTATCCCTAAACGGTTTTCCTCAACTACCCAATGCTCACCTGTAGCTTCCATAAAGTGAGCCATGCCAGAACAAACTGCTCGCTTAAACCAAGATGAGGGTAGTTGAGGTCCACATCCCCCTAGTGGGTGGATGAGACCTATCATCCCATCCAAAGATTACAAAGAAAATTTGTCCAACTGACAGAAATGCGAATATCCCTGAATGAGATTCACATCTTCCGAAGGGCAAATGAGTAAGCTCTAAAGAGCCACTGCCAAACACACGCATCGAAACATTGAAATTCATTGTGAAAAGATTAGGGGTGGATACTGGAAACGGATATATAAAAAAATGCCACGTTTACGGAGTCAGTCGTACTAGGATATTTATTTAATCTCGCCTGTTTGCCGAGCTTGGCTATGTGCTTGCAAACATTTCATCGCCAGCCGAGGTGACATCGTCAGTGCGTGTGAATTGACAGCGTTCTGCTTCTACCCGTTCGTTCATATAGGTGTCATTCTATACGGACTACTTTTGTAGTTTTTTCTCACTGTGGTCGATTCGGTTAGCCTTTGAACTGGTGCGAGGGAATGTTCTTCCGTCTTGAACCGATTTTCAATACTTTGTCAACAGGATGCTTATGGTTCAAACAGGCCGCAAAATAAGATGCATTCTCACAGAATACTGCCTGGTCCACAAAGGTGTTTCATGTCAGTCGACCGTGAGTCTGCACTTCGCGACAGAAAGTAACTCGTTTATAGGTTAGAGAAATATCACAAATCATTATGTATGAAGGTATTAGAACACACCATTTGGATCATGAAACTTCAGGGAAAAAGATACTCATCTGTAAGTAGCGAAAATGCATTCAGGTGGAGCCATTAAACGCGTTGAAAGGATTAAAACAGGCATCCAAGAGTATCAGATTGCCGTTGTTGATTTGGAATCGGATGGAACAGTGTGCAAGAGAGATAGAGAGAACCGCTAACACCACAATGATGAATGCCTTAAATAGCTGAAAGATGTACACGAACCGGGCATGATCGAAGGCTGGGCACAAGAAAAATCACATTTTCACAAACGAAGAAATTATCACGTGACCCGTAACCCGAGCTCCTTCATTCTATTCGTTTTCGGCAGCACGTTTGCGAAGTAGACATGACAAAATTCATGTCTGAACTGACGGATTGGGCTGAGTCACTCACTCGTATGACAGTGTGCATGAACGATGAACGGAAGTGCGGCCAGTCGGTCTGGTGTCGTTTGGTTGTCCGATTGAATGTGNAAACTTTGGGCGGACGGGGGTGGGGGATGGAGAGATAGGGTAGAGATGTCTACGCAGGAAGGTGGTGGGGCGACGGGACCAGAGGGCACGGCCCACAGTGTCCGTGATTTTGCGTCTTAGATCGATAAACCAGTTCTTGTAGGCAGACCGATTTGAACAAAACCCGATGCATCGTATTCAATGTAGAGTGTGTAGATTTGATTTGTTCGTTAAACAAGATTGCAGAAACGGGAAAAGTGACATTCTAACGGATTCTCAAAATACATGGTCTCGGAAATTGGTTTTGATGCTATCCATCTCACAATCACGCTTGTTGCATTTTTTCACACACCTAGGTGTGATGAACAGCAGACGGGGCGAACCCCATAGTCACGAGGAACTGCTGTTCAGTGATGGAAACCGGCAACTTAAACCCCGAGATTTACCTGGTTCGCCATTCGATGGTTACCCATTCTCTCATCATATTATGAATTATGGACAATAAACAACCACGCATGCTTTACTCACTCGCAAAGTAACCACGATCTCAGTAGCCTCACCAAGACGAAAGGTTGAACCAACACCTTAACTCTGTACACCGATTTTTGCTATTTTCTTCTCCCTTTAATCGTACACCATTCACCTTAAACTCCTTAACCGGACTTACCAATTCGCTTTTTTACTCAAATCCGTCTATAATTAGCTAGACCAACCAATCGCCATCAGCAGAATAAAACGGCTTGACTTTCAAATCGGCTGAATCTACCACTTTTATTTTTCAATCATTAATTCATATTATTTGTCGTTCACTCAACATTGAAGAATCCTTGAACTTCGACCTCTAAGTTTCTCACATTGAGAAGTTGTTTTTTGTTTACCTGAATTCAGGTAACCGAAAGAAATCAACCAGAACCTGAACTAAGGCACCTTTTTGTCATTTCAGCTTTGTGCCACGGAGCCGAACATCTTTCTGCGGTTAGTGAACTCATGGATCTAGTTGGCCTTCGGCATCCTCGATTGACCTGGTGATCGCGGCCATATCCTCAAAATAATTTTCGCTACAGTTTCTTTGATGCTAAAATATCTCTGCTCTCTCTCCGCTGCGCCTATCAGACGACGACCTGGTCAAATTTACTCACCCTGCCATTCCACCTACCTCAAGACAAACTGTGCCAATGGGACTCAGTCAAGTAAGCCGGTATCCGCCACATCTTCACCTCATACTCGTGGAACGGATGCTGTTTCAATTTAGATGTTTACATATTTGTTTCTCATTTTACCGTACTGTTCTTCAATGTAGCACCTTTCACTCTACATTATGCAAACCTAATGAACCCGAATCCACTGGTTGGCCTACCAACGCAAGTGATCGTGTGGTATATATAAAAATTCCCATCTTTCCCTCTCTTGAACACTCACACCTAGTACCACCGCCTCATGAAGCTAGGAGCAAGTAATCACTAACCATATAAAGAACGAAAGAACCCCACATCGGATGCTAAAACGAACACTTGGACTCGTCCGCACTACTCCTCTGGTACCACCTCAGAAGGAATGACCGAATTCATCAGGAGGAGGGAGGGGCAGCAAGAGCGATATGAAGATGAGATTCACAAAACTAAACTCTACCATTCACGCAAACCCGGTTCAGATCTTGATACCGGGTGACTCAGGTAAGAATAGAAAGTAGCAAGCAAACGAACAAACGGTTGGCCCATCAAAGCATCGATGATAATTTTTGTTAAATTATGGATACCTGATAGAGAGCGAACGAGCAAAACCAAAACAATATTAAATACACCGGTGATGGAACATGTCGATTATTTTTCTAGCATGGTGCTCAGGTGACATATCGACCGAAACGACAGAAACTCACCGTTCTTTGGGCAACGGTGATAATCGAAGACACCAATCAGTGAACAAATGATCGCGTAAAATCACACGGAATGATTCATCCAAACAAGTGGTGATCGGTTCGTTTGGGTTGGTTTTCGTGGATTCACCAAATGCCACTTCTGTGGTGTCCATTTCCATTCGGTCGGAGCCACCGGTTTTACCGATCATCGAGGTTGGGTTCGGTGCTGCAGTGTCAGACTGGTTCTTTGCGATGGACGGTGTACTAGCGCCAGTGACCGGGTTCGGGAGACCTGAGCACTTTGTCTTTTCCGGTGCAGACGACAACTCGACGGTAGCCGTGGGGTTCACCTCATCAGTCGCTTTCGTCGTCGTTTGATTCGAGCGCGAGGCATTTTCAATCACACGAGCGTGTGTGAAGAGAGCAACCAGGAAATCACGAACTGCTTGATGAAGTAGCGTGTTCAATGGGTACAGCTCAAACAGGTTCTATTACGAAAAAACGACAAACAAAATGTGGAGTTTAGAAGAACACAAGGATTAATAGATAGAACTTAACAACTGGATTTATTTGCACACACAACAATTTGATGAAATGCAATGAGTTCTACCAAAACAGTTGTTTTTTTCTGACAACCAGCTACTTGACAATTGATAGTGTGTCACTCTCGTCGATGTGGATTTTGCCACAGAGAGGTGAGCGGAGTTGCTTGGATAACAGCATCGGATAAACACTACTAACAAGGCACTCTCGTACATCAATAACGAATGGGACAAATGTGCGATCGGGCGGTCAACGTCCACAACCAAAGCTCAATAAAGCATTCGTTATCAGTATCTGGCTTTTGAAAACCATCGATGACGTCACTCTTTTGAGTGTGCAGTGCATGAAAACAATCCCGAAGTGGATAAACGAAGAAAAACACACCAAAGTAAAAGAGAACGACGGTCAACCAGTTGAGAAGACAACTCGTTGGAAGTTTATGTTTCAGTTTTTCACAGCCATGCAACATTGTGCAGTAGCGTTGGTTGATGTCTTTAGGCTGTTTATTTGGATCAAAAAGCAGAAGATTAGAGTACAGGAAACAGAAAAGTCGAAAATCAGTACTGACGCAACTCAAGGCAGGCGGCGAAAATGTGTTCGGAGATTATTTATAGCCAAAGTTCTTTTTCCTCGATAGAAAAACGTGTGCCACTGAAATTACCAATAATAGAGTCGTTCTCATGATCATAACCCATGACCAGTCGGTAATACCCGATGCAACACACAAAAATAACGCGCGGATATTCAGATATCCCGAGAAGTTCAGAAACGGTTAGATATGCAAACGGCGAAGAGAAAGAAATATAGGGAGAGAGCACAGATGCATGCAAATCAAACATGTACCTCCTATTGCATAGTCACATGTCGTTCACGAGCGGAATTTCTCGTCCGCTACCAGGTCGATTGGAATGAGCTTTGTATCACGGTAACACGATGATCAAAAATGGGTAACGGAAGCAAACAGTTCCATGATCGGATCACCAATAAACTAATTCGACTGCATAAACCCATTTTGACTTGTAGTTTTCATTATTAGCGATTTGGATGTGGGAGTTTATTACGGCAACCGAAGTTTATTAACTGAGTTTTGTAACGCTCCATCAGGTAATATGGTTAAAAATACTATCTTCTACCCTTTGTCCAGTGTGTGGACATCTAAACCCAAAACAACTCAATGCAACTTGTGATTCAGATGTTTTTGTGTAAGTGAAAATATTTCTAACCGCGAAGGTGAGTTGAAAAGGCAAATAAATAGGTAGGGTAGTTGGTTACCGAGGGAGGTCAGTAGTATAAATTATGAGTAAATTCCCTAGAGTAGTGCAAACGAGTATACAAAACGAGGTACGTACCATGAGAGTTTTCAAGACTCCATCCTTGACCATGGCTTCCTGGATCCCGGTAGTAACTGGGAGTGCAGCCAACAGTGCAAAGAACTGAGCAATACTCAGACGGCAACGACCAAGCGGAGGATCGAGAAGACCTGCTGTGGTGTTCATTCGATTGTAGGTTTGCTGCGATGTAAGAACGGATAGAGTGATACATATAAGTAGTAAATACCATCTTTTTCTTAACGTAAATTACCGATAGACCAAATTTTATTCACATCTATCAGATAGGCGGTGGTGCCCTGGTGGTAACGTTACCAAATTACCACCTCGGGGGACGTGCGTATGAACCCCACCACCACCGCCGCCTGACTTTCCCCATGGCAGCCCATTGATTGGCCGCTTCCCCCTTCCTGAAAATTGTATCCTTGTGTTCAATAAAAGGAAGTAAAATTAAAAGAAAGAAAGAAAGATGAATATGGTAAACCAAACTCGTGCAATACCCTGACATTCATCAAATTTGTTACACTCAACACTTGGTGTTTCGAGCCTCAAGGTCGTGTAAAGTCAAACGGTGATACAAGAGACCTAAAAACATAGCAGTAGGACATAAAGTCCGGAATAAGTACTCTTCACCCACAGCTATCGATATAGACCTATGATGTTGGAAACTGAAATGTATTTCGAAACGGAGAGTCATGTTGCACGAGTTCGATCAACACTTGTGCATGTGAGAGCTGTGTATACATTCCTTCCCCCGCAGCGTTCAAAACGTGATCCGGAGAGCATGCCCATAGTTTGCATGTCTAAATGGGTCTACAGTTATTCATTAGGACTCTCCCGAACGGAGGAGTTAACGTCTTTCGTAAACCAAAGGAGAAAGGATTGGGTGATGGAAAGAACGGTAACTATATGACCTAAAGCCGAAACCTTACAAAAAATGATGCGCAAAATATAGTGTGTTAATCATGGTAGAACCCCACTCCGGGAGGTTCAATTAATTTCTTCAAAGTGTAACACCCTTGTAAATGTATTCAACATTTTTAGAATCCTCATCCAACATCGATCGGCCCAATTTGTATCGATGTTTTCTTCACAAGAGGTATACTCGTTGAGCCAAGCACTGAAGTACAAAGGTACGAAATAAACTGAACTGGGAGAGAGATAGTTGATCAATGATAACACATTTTCGGGGTTGACGTGATAGATAGCACGTGATGTACTTCAGAAAGATTGGGGCATCAGTAAGCGTAGTCACAAATGACAAATCGTATATCTTAAACAAACACGTAAACAGTAACCTAAATAATCAGAGAGCTTCGAGTAGCGCATAGAGCTGTTTAGTCTGTCTTCGTACAGAGTTTGCCGCTGTTCGAAAGCGACAAAAACATACAGTTACAAACAAAGGAGGTGATTTCCAAACTGTAATCTATTGGGTACATTAAAAATTTGTAGTACTAGATGAACAAGACAGGGTGACACAGAAGGCTAGGTTGGTGAGTCCAGATGCGAATGGCAATAGACTTGACAGAAAGTGGGCAAGAGTGATGAAATTGGATACCATCACGACAAGAGTGTACCCTGACGTGGTGAGATGGCTTCTGCACCTCTATGACCCAACGAGAAACACATGATGGCTTTTGTCAAGCCAAAGATCTAAACATGCCTAGAAGGTCAATGGGTAGAGGTCAGACAAAATTCAGTCTCCTGGTCCTCCAGGCTGGGGGTTCGACTTGAGTCGGTGTCTCAGTCGATAAAACGTGTTGGAGGAATAATTGATCTAAGTTAACGGGCCTTCAATTCGCCTTAACCGCGGCCTTGCGGTTGGGTTCTTGTCAGAACTAAAGGCTTTGGCTGAGAACCCTAATCGTTCTCCTCCTTAGTGGATGCACACTCAGGCAGAACCCGTCCATAAAGCTCCAATGAATACACAAACAAAAAATAATGTCATACTGCATCCGTCGCCGTGCAGGATAATCAGGACCGCTTGCACATTGCATCGAGCGCAGTGGGTAGTGATAAGTGGCTACAGTTCAAATATCCCAACCTTTGTCTTCCGTATCCAACACTCTCCCTTTAACCCTTCTTCCGACCCGTAATATTCCGTCAGACAACTTGGTCGTCACGCGCCAAATGTCTTTACCAAAATGCACTGGAAATAGCTCTCCTCGAAATAAAGTGCAGACTGTGAAGCGTCGTCAACCTCTGAATCTGGGGGCTTTCAACGTGAGAACTCTTCTGAAGGTGGGTCAACAGGCGTCTTGTGCTTACAGTGGAGTCGCTGGAAATCGATGTCTGTTGCGTATCGACGCACGAATTCAGAATCCTAGTATCATAAGCCACTTGAGTGCGCCGGGTCTGTCCTCGAGATATTTTCTCGACACATCATGAGACGACAAAGCCCACTCACTGGTTGAAGGTGGTATAGGGAACCTATTAAACGATAAAGCTGAAGCCTCTATGATAGATTGGGTACCCGTCAATAGTCATTGGTGCCCAATGAGGCTATAGGGTTCAGTTAGTGTTCGGAAGGGTAGCAACACCAAGAGGTGTTTCTTCATAATTCCCGCGTATGCACCAACCAACTGCAGTCCCGCCTCACAAAAGGACGAATTTTACGACAAACTCGCCGACCTGGTTTGCAACTGAGCGGCAACTCCCATATTATAGTGCTGGCAGGTGTTTTTAACGCGCAGGTTGGAAAACTGAGCGTATCCGAAGACGGTATAGGAAGGCACTTCGCCCTCCTCACCCAGCGAACAGACAACAGTGATCGACTATTTCAGTACGGCGTGGATGACCAGCTGCTCTTAGCTAACACTAACTTTAGGCACAGCTCTCGTCGAACGGCTACATAGTGTTCTAGTTCAACGGGAAAATTGATCCAGGTTGACCACATAGCTGTAGGCAACCGCTGGCGTGGTTCAGTACGAAATTGTAGATCCTGTTTTATCACCTGCGGTCGGTTCGACCATGCACTATACCCTTTCAACTTCAAGTGAATCCGCCGTAACTTAAAGTGTATCCATTGTAAGGAAGCGAATCACGTCACTGATGAGAAAAACAGTGAAAGGTCGAAACAGAGCATTCGGTTTTCCGCACCAGATACACGAACGATTCAGGAAGTGCGTGAATTGATCTGTGATCACCCACTGCCATCTGACCCGATTTAATCGAATACAAGAGCAAATCAATGGTAGCTGAATGTTTTTTTCTCAACAGTGCATTTCCCGCCTAGTGAATCACCGGATACGGCACGAACAGATCATTAGATATTGTGTCATATCAGTTAGAACAGAGCGGAAACTTTGGCCAACTTAGTTCAGAGTAGAAAAAATGTCACTGCTTTCCATCTGTATGATAGGTAGCTCGTTTACAATATCTTTCGTGATAACATAAGGGAAATAAACTTCAAAGTGACATCCGCGATGCCACTGAACCTTTTCTATTATTCGACATTAAGTATTAAGGCAACCATGAGTAGTATATTTTGCCGACCTCTAATCAATACCCCATGGAGCACTCAGCATAGAGTTATCATCACTTGTGGGATCATGGAAAACTGTAAATCATTCATATCCTCACCTGTCTCATTCGCTAAACTATAAATGATCGCACAGATGTAATCAGTACGTGAAATGATGTGACGGGTTGAGCAATCATTCAATGAAGATAGGAACCTATGCGATGAGGCTGAGTAGCGAAGAGAGAAGCCGCAGGTAACAGATTGTTGCCAATGGTATTGTGGATAGAATGCATCAATCAGCCAAGGAATGACAGAAAAATATGATTTTCTGTTAGCTAGTGAATAGGTTCGAAGTTGATCTCGTTACCACTGTTAAGGATCTTGTCATGTGTGCACTTCAATGTCAAAAATACGTAAGCAATCGCATTTGATTCAAAGGAATCCGCTTTGTTCGAGAGAAACTCGGCCTCAACGGGAATTACTCATTAGGTTATTGTGGGCTTAGACTGACTCCACTTATGCAATGACTCATGCTCACATTTACACGTGGGCATGGTGACCGACTTATCGATCAATCTTGACGTGATTCGCTTCCTTACCCGACCGACAAAGGTCATTTAACTCCGAGTTCGTT